CTACTACTACTAACTACTACTACGACGACCACGACTACTGCTGCTACTGCTACTTCTGCTACCACTGCATACCACTCGCAGCACCTCCAACACCACTACTGCCAGCTTATACTTAAACTTCTCCAGAGCCAGCCAAGCAGGCTGGAGCTGAGTACAGCGCCCGTCAGCCGACACTAGCCGCCTCATCGACAGTGCGGAGTGTCTGAGTCATTCGGACATGTTCTCCGAGTTGGAGCGACGGGGCGGCTTGGTGATGCTTGAGTTGTTGCTTATGCCGTCCGACCACGTCATATCATCAGCTAATCCAGAGATGATGAATTTCAGAATAGCCCGACTTGGAAGCTCGGCCTGGACAGGTCTTCAGCCACCTGAGCTGGCGCACGATAAAGAAGCAGCACTACGAACAGACACGAGCTCATACTCCTTACACCATCATGCAAGCACCCCCGCGCTACCACCTGTGGCCCTGGCAGAGTCGACAAACTTTTCCGTAGTCAATCCATTTGGGCCCACCATGTCCCGGGTTCCTGGCAGCTCGGAGAAGCCATAAATTACTACCAATACTATTTCGGGGCTTCCTTCTTATTATTATATATTATTAGTCATTATTAGTATCCCCAAAACCCTATTCTACACATCCGAGCCAGAGTTCTGCTTTCAACGAGGCTCCGAGGGCTTTCCTGCGGGGGTTCTCTCTGCCATCATCTCCGTGGCTCCCGGTCCCACATGGTGTCGGGAGCACCTCGCCCGTCACGGAAGGCGGCATAGACGGCCTCTTAAGCTTCGCAGAGTTTTTCGTAGCACCAGGCAGGGCAGCGGGCGTGGCTTCTGCTGCTGCCTACAATAGCTCCTGGTTGCTTTTAGAGTTGCTTGCCTTTGTTGAGGCAATGCTGGTAGAGCAACCTAAAGAGGCAATCAGCAACCGCGTGGACAAGAAAGCCTTCGCAGCTCACGGCAAACACATTGAGCAGCGGCTGTCACTTCAGTCGTCTGCACCGCAAGTGCCTGTGCTGAGGGGCCGGCTGCTCGTGCACACCCTGTAAATCTTTGGGTCAGTTCGAGAATCTTCGGGTCGTTCTCCTGAAGACAGAGAAGCCATCACTGTGATTCAAACTAGCACGTCAGCAGTCATTCAATTCGAGGTCTTCTGCAAGGCGGTGAAGCCGGGGACTCGGCCAGGACTGCAGCATGGTCCATGGCCCCAAACAGGGCGACCACCTGGGCGAGGAAATCAAGTCTCACTGCCTCCTTGATCACAGCTTCATGACGTGAATGGTTCTGCCAAGGGTTCGCACCATGCCCAGTGGATTCATGGATGTCTCTTCACCGCCTCAGCGACATAATTCTGCATTAGAGGGCTCTTCCCGGAGAGTCCCAGAACATCCCAGAGCTTGAGGCGCAAGTGGGCGTGCCAAAGGTCCGCCACCGTTCCGTGGGAGGCCTCCCGTCCGCATCTCGGAGGCATCGGAACATCTCAACTTAAGTATCATATCTTCGTATACCATGCATCGTTTTGTGTGTGTTAATGCTTCAAAATCCATCTGAATGTGTGTGTATATTCAGCAATTAATTGAGCATTTATTTATTTATGTATTTGTATAACATATATATATATATATATCTGTATGTATGTGTATATATATATATATATATTGTAACTTATATATATATGTATATACACACACTCACACATTGGAGCGATGTTACGCACGAAGCTCCTACATCCTGTACAAATTAGACTTGTCACGCCTGCTCTACCTACTTGTGAGGGCATTGTCGCCAGGTTCTCGGCATATTTTTGTTGGCCGCACTCTTTGTCTAAAGTTCGATGACAGCGAGCGGCGAAGATGGAAAGAGACAAAGGGCGAGAGCGAGAGCGAGAAAGAGAGAGAGCGAGGGAGGGAGGGAGAGGGAGGGAGCGGAGCATGTGCAAATGTGCGAGTGTTCACTCTCGATGTGAGGTAGCCTCGAACTCCTTGATCAAGGCTCCGTCCTGGCACTCTGATGCCCAGAACAGAGGCAACTCGTGAAGCGCTCCACCCAACCTCTCGCTTTCCAATGAGGTTCGAGGTGATGAAGCCCGGGCTTCGATGCACCTGGGCCACCTCGGGGACCGATTGCGGTTTGGCTTCTTCGAGGTCTGCAATCGGAGTTTGCCTCGTCTGTGAGCATGTCGCCGTCGTAGTTGTGACCTGGTGCAGCCGATGCTTTGAGCTCTGCCGCAGCAAGAAATCACAGAGCCTAAAACCTTCCTTCGATGGCTGCCTGACACGGGCTGAGGCTGTTGCAGGCCATGCCGAACCCACCGTCGGTCCAGCGAATAATCTGCATTGTTGCAGCCTTGGCTAAAAGCAATGTTCAAAGGTGGGGAAAACAGCAGCCGAGCTTGACATGGCACATCATGGCACGGTGATGCATCACATCTTGGCTGCAGGCATCGCTAATCAGGTGCTGCCTTCGGGTCGGGACACGCTGTTCTGCACGGGTGGTGCCATGTGAACCATACCGACCACACTTGGACAAATCGCGAAGGTACTTCAGGGTGTTGGGGGCCCGACAGTTCTCCTCCTGTCTTGTCCTTGGAGGATCGGCGCTCGATTTTGGGCTCTGAGTTCACATATCACATAAGTGTAGCATCTGCAAGCCACAGGTGTGCTCCGACAAGTCTGCGACATCAGTCAAGGTCCACAGTTAGAGAGTGGAGTCTTTGGGCTGTGCTTGTGAAGACAATCGTGGCCCCGTCACAGGGATGCTGCAAGATTGGCCAGCAGATTCTCGTGCACTTGATGTCAAGCTCTAGCCGTCTAGCCAGCCACGGAATGGCAATCGTCACCCTTGCACAGGACGACACACGAGCCGTCCCACGTGTTCGAAAACTCATAATGTTCATAAGAGGTGTGGCGAGGCAACACAACAGTTGCCCACGTACACCTTCCGCCCTCAGCTCAAACAGCTCAAGCTCAAAGACTCTGAGCAGTCAAGTCTGGGTGTCCCGAGCCAAGAGACCGGCGGACAGAAAGGCTGCCTGACAAGAGATGATTTCGGTGCTCACGACATAGGACATGAACTGTTCGTTGTTGCACAAGGTCAACGAGCTCTGACTACAGGCGAAGACTGTGACAGATGCGATGCGAGCGAAAGGTCATTAATAGGCCGTCTGTCGTCATTTAAGCCGCAGCGTCGATTATTTGGTCTTGCAGACCTAATAGATCGCAGCTCTTGTCCGGACACTTGCTGGCCTTGTACTCGGAATCGAAGACTTCCCGCATGATCTGCCAAAAGCCTTCCTGCCACTTGAAGACCTCAAGAGATGCTGAGAGGTTGAGGTTCTCGCAATTCGAATCTCGGGTAGTTTTCTAAGCTGAAGACCATGTCTCAAATGCAACCCATGAGCCATTCTCGCATTGGCGGGTTCCAAACTACAAGCGATCTAGGCAGAAGCAGAGGGTGCGCATGGGGAAAATGCGAAACGCAAACGACATCTGAAGCAGCCACGAGCCACTTCGACGGACACGGGCACGTAGCTGCAGCCCCGAGACCCAAAGCGGGCATCAAGACACGAAACCGCAAGCCTTGTCAGGTCCCATGCTGCTCTTGGGGCCCGCACGGTCTTCTTGGTGACGACGTAAGGCACTACCTGGCAGACAGCCCTCAGGCGCTATCAGGTCAGACACAGCAAAATCAGGTTTCGGTTGGTGTTTTCCACTAAAAGTTATTCGGATCAATACAGCTAACTCTGTGCAATCCGTTAAGAAACTCCACTCCGCAAGCGAGACGGCAACAGAAACCTGTCCTGGACAGGCCATCCAATCCAACGCAAGTCCACCGAGAAGAACGAGCTGTGTCGGCCCGTTGATGGCAGAGAAGCCACTAAAGATGGGCATGCACAGACTGCTGAGTGTCAGTAGACACGCGAATGCGCAAGACAAGCAATGCAAAAGGCCCGTCTGTGTTTTATGCCTTGTCTGCGTCACATCACGGCGGTCAGGGCTTTCCATAAATTTTGCCCAGTACATAGAACGCCTAGAAACGTCTGACCTTACAACGCCGACAAAATGAGCTTGCAGCTCAATGCCAAAGCCATGCCGGCGCCTGGCCTTTGCATCCAAACATCTTTGGAAGAAGACGTGGGCGAGGTCCTGGCGCAAAGAGCGTGCAATATGCGTGTAGTATCTGTGTGCACCCGAAGCTTCGGCTCGCTGGGTGTGGAAGCTGCAAAGCAAAGCGTTTGATCATAACTCGATGGCACAGTTTGGAACCTCGACATTATCCAATGGGTTGTCGTAGACCACGCACACCTTTGGTCAGATAACAGAGATTGCAACAGCAGATTCACGATACTGCGACTGCTTGTCGTGCATGCGGCACATGATCACGGGTGTCTCGCCAAAAGCAGACGTGTGAAAAGCCTCAGGTCGCTGCACTTCGATCATCCTTGAGCTCCCTTCCATCCACAATCGTCGGCTTTCCCTGTAGGGGAGCTTGACCCAGAACGTAACTGAGGTGTGACCCTGCGGCGCTCTTTTGTAAGGCTGCGCAGCTGTCATAAAAGTCTCATAACCTATCAAGTCCACGTCCCACCATCACACACTGCCCCGCTGGCCAACACCTTGCCTCGTCCATGTTCTCGGGAAAGAAAGTCGTGAGCAGGCGGCCTTTGCCAACCTGCATGGCAGCGGCATTTAAAGGCAGAAAGCTGGCACATATGCCACAGCGAAGCCTTCTTCCAGCCGGCGCCGTACTCACCGCCGACTGCATGCCGCTCGAAAAGGACGGGACGCTTGAACCCCAGCTCAATGCCGGGAATGTGGATCGTGTCCTGGTGAGAACAAGTCGACCCGCTGCTGCAGACTTTCTGTTTGACCGCTACAAATGCCCCTAACCAGACCGCTCTGCATGCTCAGCAGTCCCGCGAGATGGTGATGCCGTTCCATCCTCTTCGCCTGAAACACCCTACTGTCGTGAACCCGTGTGAAAACCAGTTGAACTCCATGAGTCTTCCCTGCAAGACTTCCCTCTGCCGCCGCCTCTTGCCATCACATGACCTCCGAGTATGTAACTTCCAGCCGCAAAACTGGGCCCCTTGCATGGCACCGTTGGGTGAGCCGAGCGCTCTGCTGAGACCCATTTCTGCCATCCTCAGCGTTGGCATCTGTGCTAGCCTTCGAACAATCACATCAGCAGGGGAGCGCGTTTCCCATGCACGTTGCCCGAAGGTTCGACCGTTCCGGCCGCAAAAGGCGCACGCACGCGCTGCCGCACATGGACTGCAATTGCCAGGTCCAGTGCTTCGGCGGGCTCCTGTAAGGCCTGGCCCCGCTGACTCCGAAATCCGCCAGCCTTTTCGCTTTCGTCTTGCGTGAAGAACTTTGCTCGGGCAGAAAGTATAAGGTCTGGGGATCTCGGTGAGCGGGGCTCTTTGCCTTCACCACGGAGGTCTGTGCTCCAGGGTGAACAAAACTGACGACGCAAGGCAGGAACGGAAGAAAATATGTGTGATACCGGATGCGATCCAACATCTTGGGGGGCTTGCAGCTTTCGCGTCTT